TGGCTTGTGGGGATCAGGTCAGAACCAGCTCTCTGAGATCCTCGTAGGGGTCCTGGAGTACAAGAGGCCACTCTGAGAAGTTGCTGTCATACAGGGTGTGGAATGCAAATGCAAGTGTGCAGTAAACCAGATTTGGGGCCAACAGTGCCCCAGCAACAACATAGCCCCTGGCTGAAGGTGGGATCCCGCAGCCCTGTTAGGAATTAGGCTCCCTCCTTTCTGGTTTCAGGATGTGTCACCCGAGAATTGCCACTGCCAAGTCACTGCAGCTTAGCAGCTCCTGTGTGGAGCGTCTGCCTCCTGGTGGTCAGTGCATGTCATAGCGACTGGTCAGATGGTAAGATTCACACCTTTTATATATATATATAGATATGTCAATAAGCTTCTAGAAAATTCTAGATTAACAAGAGCAGGTTTTTTTGGTGTATTATTGGTCTATGATCCATAGCAAATTTTTACCAGATATTTTTCTCTTACTTGAAGTTTACAGTTTTTATATTATATTTAGTGTAACTTTGTCTCCTAGAAGTGGGTCTAGGCTGCTGAGAGGAGATTCAAACCTATGCACAGATGGAAGTTAGCAAGAACTTATTTGGGTTACTTCGGGTGCCACCTCTTTGGTCTTCCCTTTGGATGCATGTCCAGCAAACAGAAGCCGGATGCTCTGGGGCCACACCTCTGTACCCAGGTAATCTGTGCCTGGGCTGCAGAGGAGGGACACAGGACCTCTGAACTATCCTTCCCCATCCTAACTTCTCAGGAGAGGCTACATACTTCAGACTAACTACCAATCAGGAACTTCTTTACTTTAAAAGTCCACTATTTCTGTAGCTATGGAAACAGGCTCAAGCTGTGCCCTCCAGCTCTTAACCATGAGTGGCAGAAATGGGAACAGAATTGGGACCTTGGTTTCTACTCCAGTGCTTTTTCTACTGTACACAAATGTTTTCCAGAATTTAGTTTGTATAAAAATAATCTAGAAAATATGTTAGAATTGCAGATGTTGAGTTTTGGTCCCAGAGATTGATTTGGCAAGTAGAGCCAAGGATTTACATTTTTGATAAGCACCCTTGGTGAGTCTGATGCATGTTGTCAACAGCCTAAAGGTAGCAATGACAGGCTCCATGAGCAGATCACATTTCCAAGGACAACCCACTGTGTTTCAAAAATGCTGACTTTCCTTTCTGGTAGGTTCAGGCAAGAGCTTTGGGTGGGCTTATGCTTTGTGGGGAAGGTGACAGTTCCTCAGGGTGAATTCGGTGGTGAGGTAACAGTGACAATAGATGCTCTTCCTGCCACCCTGGACCTGCAAGTGTTTACAGTATGATTCTGAACAAACATGATAATGAATCTGGAGCCCAGCTGAATGAGCAGGGCTCTGAGAGAGCATGGCTGCCAGGAGATCCAGATGTCTGCCTGTGCCTTAGGTGACAGAGCACCCAGGAAATCTCTCAGAAGCTCAGTGTTGCTGCCATGGGTGCCATCTTAAAGAGGAAACCAGCTTTGGTTGCTGCCGAGGCTGGGGGGAGGTTTATCTCTGTTGTGCTAACAGCAGTAATAACCCAGAGGTTAGACGTTGCTTTCACAGACATTATCTGCACCCGTTCCTTCACCTGTGAACCTATGTGAGGGCCCACTGATTTCCAGTTATCTGTACACAGCTTTCTTGTCCTTAGGCTTCCGTTAGCTTGACTGAAACTTGAATTCATCTCTCTACAGATCTCACATACACCCAAGTATGTTTAACATCCCCAGGTGGGGTGCACTGTTGGGCTGCTTTCAGAGAGGCAGCTCCAGGTATCCTCCTCCTTCCTGGCATTTGTTGGATTTTACAAATAATGACATTGTGATTACGTGGTCATGTGTTCCCTAACTAGATGGAAAGTTTTCTGTAGGCAGGAATAACGCCATTCTCAGGCCATACTACAGTAGTAGCTCAGTGCCAGAAAGGCACAACGGCATTGAAATGAATGGATGGATGCTGGATTAACTGATGAAGGATGCTGGCTGCACAACTTCTTGTTGGCTGTATGAACAATAAGGAAGGTGGAGTTAACCCAAGTGCTAACCAGGCTTGGAGAAATGCTCTACCTAATAGGTGAAGGGAACCTGCCATCTTGCACATCTTGTACTACACTCTTCATTTCTGGAAAGCCCTGCTCCTCCTCAGCCTCCCTTAGTGACGGCACAGCCAAACCTCAATGTCCTCGTCAGGATCCTCTGCATCATTTCTATACAGGCCTCTCCTGCACTACCCCTACCCAACCCATCGCCCAGCCAGTGGACGCTGCTCTGCCCCCCAGTAGCTCTCCACGTTGCTGGTGGCTCTTCACCCACCCCACTGCCACCAGGGCAGGACACCAGCACCTCTTACCTGGATTGCTTCAGCCACCTGTGGATGATCTTGCCTTTCTCCACTCCAGCCTCCTCCACCTGCTCCTCTAGTCTAAAGCCCATACCAATCACCCAGGGACTTAGTTAAAATGCAGAGCCTGTGGTTAAGGAGATCAGGGTCTGAGATTCTGCATTTGCAACAAGCTGCCAGGTGAGGCCAATGCTGGTGGTCCATGGACCACACTTTGAGGAACCATATGTCATTTTTAAAATTTAAACCTTAACATGTCATCCCTTCTTTAAAATTCTTCAGTAACTCCCTGTTGTTTATAAGGCCTCATGCCATCAGTTACCTGCCTTCTTGTCTAATTCATTGTTCTACATTTCCTCCATGTTCACTGGTGTGTTTGTAGATCCTCAAATTGCTGCCCTCTTTCATGTGCCTACACTGTACCTTCTGTCTGGAATGCACTCCTGCCTCCAGCTGACTTCCCTTAGTGAATTCCCATTGGACTGTTAGGCTTCTCTGTCATCATCTGCTCCAGAAAGCCTTTCCAGATCCCATCCATTCCCAGATATAGCACAGTGCTGGAGAGGCACAAGGGCATCGAGCTGGTTAAATGACACCCAAAGGAGCACTCTGTGGACATGTTTCTCACAACCCACCCTGCCTTGGGAGGCACATGCCTGTTTGCCTGCCATCTCTCCACCTAGACCTAAGGTGACAGAGCCTGGGACAATGTTTGCTGGATAAAGAATGGGATGCAGAGGACCTGCCTGTCCTCTCTTGGAAGCTCCTCCATCCTCCTCCAGATGACAGTTGTCTCTCCCAATTGTTTCTATGGGATGCTAAAGAGAGTCTTTCAATTCTCTGCATGTGCCCACTTCCTGCATCCACCTCGTTTACCTCTTTGGTCTTAATATCAACAAATCATCTATTTCTTTTGTTTGGGGTGGAATTGCTGAGGATGCTGAATCTGCAGCTCCTGCTGTACTTGGGTTCCTGCCACCCTGTGTACCATTCATTAGATGAGTCTTCGTGCGTGAGGGCCCTGCCATCTCTCCCTGAAATTGGATTGTCTGCACCAGCTTCTTGTTCCTACAGCTTTCTAATGTCTTTGATCAGAGCCCATTGGAAGCTGAGGAGGCAAAGCTGAGTATGAGACAAACAAGCTGCTCCTACTCCTCTGGCCCTGGTTCCTGAGACTCAGAGGCCTTGCAAAGAATCCACACTTCTCCAGAGTGCGCCAGACACAAAGTCTGCCTGCTCCTGGGGTGGCCCCACTCTCCTGTAATTAGGAATGTTTGCTCAGCACACCTAGGAGGACCCATTCTTTCTCTTTTCCCCAGCTTTCCCCAAACCACAGTGAAATTCCCAAATGCTTAAAGGTTCATCCAGCCCTGATGCCATTATTGGCTGAGCTACTCTAAAGCCGAGTTCCCAGGGCGATGTTAAAAAAAAAATGGGGCCAAGAGGCAGACTTGAAAGTTCTAGTCCTGGCTCTTGCATTTGCTACTTGCCTGGCCAATCTCTTTGCTTCACTAAGTCTCTGTTTTCTCATCTTACAATGGGTTTATGTACCTTTCCTGTCAACCAAAGAGATGTAGTGAAGTTATGTGAGTTGGCAAATGTGAAATAACTTGGTTGAGTAGTAAGAAATGCACAAAGGTGAGGTAAGTTGATGTGTTAACAACAATGAGGACCAGGCCTAAGAAGAGGGAAAGCAAAAGGTATTTGCCTTGACATCTAGTATTTTCACCAATGCCCATATAGACCATCTAATAAATAAAAGTTGGACATGTAAATTACTGACCATATTAATGTACATTCATTTAATGTATTACCTTCCTGGGACATTTATATTTTAAATGAATGGAAGGAGGAAAATGCAAGGAAGGAATTGATAATGCAGAAATTCGGGTACAGTGTGAATGACAGTATATGGGACAGGGAGGACTCCCTTACACCTCTCAGATCATCCTACATGGTCCACTTGGCTCAATCATCAGGGAAGGGAAGTGCCTATGTGGGTAGTGCTCTAGAGACTCAACACTATGCCATGCCCCTTTCTCATGCTACAGAGAAAGGGCAGCTGAGAAAGTTAGGGGGAAGCCTGGAACTATGGGCAGGTGGACCATTAGTGGTTTTTGCCTGTGTCCTAAATGGCCTTCCGAGTGAGGATGAGGCATCAATGGATTATTAACAGTATGGTGGCCTCTTCTAGAAAGCTGTCAGCCCCATTCTGGCTTCCAAGATTGCCCAGAGTGGAAGAGAAATGAATGTCCGACAGAGTGACAGATGCAGAGATGTCTCTAGCTGACATTGTCTGAGCCTCTCTTTCCCCTTGCCTCCCGTTCTGACTTTGAAGGAGAGCTATAGTTTCTATCACAAACACCACACCTGCCAGGCTCATGGTAAATTTCCTGGGACAGCAATACAGCTTGCAGGATGTGAGTGTGACCTTCAAGAATTACAAAACCTGGGGAAAATGTACTTGCCTTCTTTGAAGAAGTTGGTTTTTCAAATCTCTCCAAGAAGATGGACTTTATTAGATCTTTTGAACAAGGAGACAAATAAGTGCATATTTTCTCCAGCGCAGGGGGTTACCCAGACTTGAATCTCAATCTAGCAAAGCTTGGACCCCAGGGGTCTTCGTCTCCTGTGCTCATGCTCTGTTTCGGGAGAAGGCTGGCAAGCGTGGCCCTGCATTGACATTGTGGTGCCCATTTCCCGCTATCTGCTCCTCAGCAACATGGCCCCTACCGTCTCCCCAGAATGCTTTCTCCTGCTCCCAGAGGGCATTCTCTTCCTCCCAGAGGGACTTTTTATCCTCCCACAGGGCCTTCTCCTCTTCAAGAAGAGCTCGCTCCTCTACCCAGAGAGCCTTCTCCTCCTCCCACAGAGCCCTGTCCTCCTGAAGAAGATTCTGATCTCTTTCCCACAAAGCATTGTCCTCTTTCCAGAAGGCCTTATCCTCCTTCCAGAAGATACGGTACTTTTTCCAAAAGGTTTTCTCTTCTTCCCGGAAGGATTTTTCCATTTCCCAGAAGGCTTTTTCCTCTTCCCAGAAGGTCTTCTCCTCTTCCCAGAAAGGTCTCTCTTCTTCCCAAAAGCCCAAGATCTGGCCCTGGAAAGCACGGATCTTGCCTTGGAAATTCCACATCTCTTCCCTGAAGTCTTCTATTTTCTCACGAAAAGTTTTTATCTCTTCCCGAAAAGCCTTTTCCTTCTGCAGCTTATGAATCAGTTTCTTCTGACGAACGTTGGGCAAGGACACCACCAGAGACCGGAAACAAGCAAGCCCCATCCATCTACACACCTTGAAGAGAAACATCTTTCTACTCAGCCAGAATGGTGGGTTGGCCATGATGGATCACAGGCCGTTGGCCAAGTCCAGGTCAGCTGGTCAAACCCTGTGGAGGCACCAGAAAGAACATGTTCATGAGCATCACATTCCAGAGGACAAGCCGTTGCGTCTGTACCATTTGCTTTGGGAAAATCCAACCATCTTTCTGTGTCCCCTTTGGTATAAAAACATGCTTAGTTGTCATGAATTTGGGCTGAAGAAGTTGTCATTATATTCAAGCTCCAGGCTGCTAAAAATCATAGATCTCAGTCAACAAGGACAATGGTTCTTAACTAGGAAAGAAAAAGGAAAGGGAAGGGAAGGAAAGGGAAGGGAAGGGAAGGGAAGGGAAGGGAAGGGAAGGGAAGGGAAGGGAAGGGAAGGGAAGGGAAGGGAAGGGAAGGAGATATTGAAAGATTTCCAAACATTGCCATATAACTGACAGATCAGTTATCAGTACTACCTCAAAATTCTGATATCTACAAAGATGGGTCAAGGGATGAGAAAAAGGACTGAACACAGGAAAGTGATTAGAGTGCAGGGGAAACAAAGGGTGCATACACATGATTTCCATTTTGAGCTTTCTGGAAGCAGCTGCCAGGGTCTGTCCTCACTCTGCAGGTCTCACCAGCACCACACTGTGGAGCAATAGGCATTCCTTCAGGAGATTCCTGGGATTTCTCCTCTTTCTATTTCCTGTCTTAGGATCAGGGAGTAGGAGAGAAGGAAGAACACATAGGTGTGTGTGTGTGTGTGTGTGTGTGTGTGTGTGTGTGAGAGAGAGAGAGAGAGAGAGAGAGAGAGAGAGAGAGAGAGAGAGAGGATGATGACGACTACACTACGGGCAGCTAGTGGCACTACAGTCCACCCAATATCACACAAGCTAGAACCTGGAGCTCATCATTGACATCTTCCTCTCCCTTATCAGACTTTTACTTAATCATCCAGCCCTGCCAGTTAAGACCCCTAACAATTCTTGAAACCACACTGCCCCCCCACTCCCCGACTGCTCCATCCCCTTGACCATGGTCAGTTCCAGCCAGGATTCTGGTAACAGCCTGACTGGTCTCTCTAGTGCTGATTTTACTCTCCCATCCTCCCCAACACTAGCCCAGAAGTGCTTGTAAACATTGTCCCATCACATTACAGCTGCTCACAAACCTAAAATCCATAGCCCAAATATCAAACCCAAATGCCTCAGTAGACCCTCTGCAATCTGATTCCTGATTGTCTCTCTTTTCCTCCCAGCTCCAGATATAAGATTCAGTAATAAGGAGCTACATTCAGCTCTCTCACTGTAACCCGCAATTTCCTGTCTTCACACCAGGGCACGTGCTACGTCCTCTGTAGAGATAGCCTTTTCCTCTCATTATGAGCTTGAGTTCCTGCTTTTTCTTTCCCTCTGAAAGCTACCTGGGCCCTCCAAAGTTCATCACCACCCCCTCAATGTAACCTGTGTCTGCACATACACACATGCACTTGCACTTGTATCAAGCACCAGACCTATTGATAACAATATTTAGCAACTTGGTCACTACTTTTGAATGAAACGCTCTTTTATACAACTCTATTGCTGAAGGAAAATATGCAGAGAACCACATTAAAAAGCCAATTTTAAAACATTGAAAGTAATTACAAAGAAATAACTATATATTTCAAAAAACAAAATACTTACTAAAGCCCCTGTACCTGTGTGAGACCTGTCTATCTCCAGCTGTCAGAGGAAACATTTGTGCATGTTTCTGATTTTCTTCTGAAGTATTTCCTGGACATGTCCCAACACTGAAAGTAACAGCCATCAACTTACACTAAAGCTTTCGAATTCCGTGAGCAATGTTTGCACAACCTAGAGAACTCACTGAAACTTCAAGTTCCATAAATTCCTTTTTCCTTTTTGTCATGGACACCAACTATTGCCCTATTCTACATTTCACACTGCCCACTGTATCCCAGGCTGTTATGTTCAGGCTCTCTTTATGGCCTCACGCCTTCTGCAGGTCTAGCACCAGCCACTGCTCTAACTGGGCTTTCCACTTAGGGCCGCTCTCTACAAAGAACAGAATGGCTGCATTGATGACGAGGAGGAGAGACCTCACAGAACTCAGTGGGGAAGTCATTTGGGGACAGCTGTCACTTGAGAACAGAAAAAACTATGAGTTGTAAGTCAGCACTGAGAGATCACTCAAATGACTTTCCCCCTGAAACTAACACCCTACGTGGGCAACAGCGGGAGAAATCTACTTATGGCACTTGTTGAATAACTGTATTATAGAAATAAACATATTATAAATCTAATTCTCAGGTACACTCCCTTGTTCTCAGAGGATCTGGGTTTTTATCTGTGGAGAAAACAGAGGCTCACTGCTGTTTCCAGTCCCCCAGCTTCTAGTTCACCCTTGTGGCATCCACATCCATTTTTAATACTCTCTTCTAGGCTCCTTGGCCAGGCCAGGACTCTCTCTCTCTCTCTCTCTCTCTCTCTCTCTCTCTCTCTCTCTCTCTCTCTCTCTCTCTCCATTCTGGCCTCTCAGCACAAATGTTACTTTTCTTAAAAACAACCATCCAACCAGGAACAGTCTCTAACTTTCTTTACCTATTTGCCCTTTCCTCCTTGAACAATCTTATCAAAGAGCAATTGAAGACCACTGTCACTGTTTTGAATTTTCTTTGCACCCACATTCTATAGCAATCTGTCTTTTGCCTCCTTGTTCCACTGAAATTGTACTTGTTAAGATCAGCAGTGACCTGCTAGATGTTTAGTTTTCATCCTCACTGACCTCTTGGCAGCATTTCACTATATTTGACATGAATCCTTTTTGAAATTCTTTCCCCTTTGACTTGTATAACACCAGGCTATTTTGTTCTCCTATCTCCCTGACTGCTCTTTCTGCCTGGTCTGTGGACTCCTTTCCCATCAGTATATACTTTACCCGTATAAAGCAGTACCTACCTCTAGCGCTCTTGTGAAAAAATTGGATTGGTTGAGTGCCTAGCACAATGCCTGGCACATAGTAAGTGCTCAACCAATAGAAAATAAGAAATATTATAATTGCTATTTTGAGTCATTTTAAATCTTAAGGTGGTATGCCAGAACAATGATCTGTCCCTACAACCCAGTTTTGCCTTATATTTCAGCCACCACCCTTGGAATTTCTCAAGCATGAAAGTTTTTCTCACTTCCATTTCATGCTGTTCTCAATGGATAGATTTGCCTAAACCCACTTCACATCACCTAGCTATGACTCAGGTAAGGAGCAACATTTTTTAGATAGCCTCTCCCACTCTCCCCAAGCTTAGACTGAGCACATACTCCTCCTGCCCCAGAGGGACACTCTATGCCCAGCATCTAGCACAATGCTGGCACATAGTAGGTGTTCAGTAATGTCAGCTGAACAAATGGCAGTCTCCTGAACAAATGTCAGAAAAGAAAATTCATCTCTAAATTTTCCTCATTACCGCTGAAATTATCTTTGAGAAAGAGATAAAAAATAAGTACAATATAAAATCTGTAGTTGTGTATTTATATATAAAGTACAATATAAAATGGTAAAATTGTATCTATATGGATCTAAAATCAAGAATCAAAGAAACATTGATCTCCAATATTACACTTCAAGAACAGGAACTTATTTTAAGGAAAATGTTATATGTTATTCTATTCTTAGAACCAATATTCAGTCTAAAGCCAACAGATACTTACTGCTTAGCTGTTTGCCTACTGGGCAAATCCTGTAGCCCTCAGAGGGCAGGCAGTCATTGTTGTGTCAGATCCTTAGTGATGTCGTTTTCACAGACTCCCCTAGCAATGTTTGCAATGATCCCTCTGTCCCCTCTCAATCTTGACTCACAGGGCAGAGAGGACCAAGATGAAGTCCCCAGTAAGAGACTTTAAGGGGTGGAGAGAGAACTAGAAAGTTTGAAAGATTTTTCCATTATCCATCCCAACTTCACCTTTAGGGTAGCACTGATGACAGGCAAATGATTGTTACATCACCATTCTATCTGGATTGTGACCAGGAACAGACTTCTGGGAAATCATGCTTCAATGGTAGAAGGGATGAATCACTTCTCTTGCTGCTTTCAATATTCTCTCTTTGTCTTTGACAATTTGACTATTATGTGTTTCGATGTGGATCTCTTTGAGTTTATGCTACTTAGAGTTTTCTGAGCTTCTTGGATATTCAGATTTGATGCAGTTTTTCCTGGAATTTAGACATTTTGGTTGTTATTTCTTCAAATGTTCTTTCTCTCCTTTTCTCCTTATAGAATTAATATTATTTTTATTATTTTTTTAAATAAATCTTTATTGCTCAGATTATTACAATTGTTTCTCCTTTTCCCCCTCATAGCTCCCTTCCACCCGGTTCCCGCCCCACTCTCTGCCCTTACCTTCTCCCCCTTTCTCCCCGCCCCCCATTGTCCTCATCCATAGGTGTATGATTTTAATCCAGTCTCTTTCTGCACCTCCCCACACCCCTTTCTCCCTGATAATTATCAATCCACTCCCTTTCTTTGCCCCTGATTATATTATATTCACCAGTTTATTCTGTTCCTCAGATTTTTAATTCACTTGATGATCTTCCTCTTCTTAATACCTTTCAGCATTTCATATAATACTGGTTTGGTGGTGATGAACTTCTTTAACTTTTCTTATCTGTGAAGCTCTTTATCTGCCCTTCAATTCTGAATGATAACTTTGCTGGATACAGTAATCTTGGTTGTAGGTTCACGCTATTCATCACTTTGAATATTTCTTGCCACACCCTCTGGTCTGCATAGTTTCTGTTGGGAAATCAGCTGATAGTCATATGGGTGTTCCCTTATAGGTAACCAACTGTTTTTCTCTTGCTGCTTGTAAGATCCTCTTTTTGTCTTTTGCCCTTGGCATTTTAATTATGATGTGTCTTGGAGTGTTCCTCTTTGGATTCCTCCTGTTTGGGGTTCTGTACGCTTCCTGTACTTGTAAGTCTATTTTTTTCACTAGGTGG